CTCCTCTACTCAAATTTTCAGGTGCCATGTATGGAATTACGCCATAAATTTTTTCTGGGTCATTTTCTGTAACTGGTTTGCACAGTCCAGAATCTTTAATATAACTATAAGTTAAAGTTTGATTAACTATATTACCAGAATGAAAATCTTTATGCATTAAGCCCATTTCATGAATATTTGCAAGTCCATTTACAATAGGTAGTAATATATTATATTTTTTTCTCCAAGTTAATTTTTCAAACTTGCTATTTAACAGTTTTCGAAGACTAACATATTTTGGATACTTCATAACCATCATATATTCCTTTTTTTTTGGATTTTTAGTGATGCCATATATTGCAACTACTTTTTTATCTCGAAACTTAAGTTGGTTTTTAATCTAAAATGTTTATTAGCATAATAAAATAAAATTATTATATATTTAAAGCAATGAAATTTAAATAATGTCAAATATTTACCTCTTGCAAAAAAACAATTTTATTATTATAACATTTTAAGCAAACATCTGGTTTTTTAGGTCTGTACCAATTTTCTACTCCATAATTCCAAAAATAAATAGGTCCATCAAGCCATTTTGCTTTGTATACTGTGCCAAAACCCCCTTTAGCAAGATATGTGACATCCCCAAGTCTGTCAAATGGAATCCACTCAATAATTTCTTGACATTTATTTGCCTTCAGTTGTATTTGTTGGATAAATTTATCAATTTCTTTATCTTCACTTGTCCATTTATCAAATTCATTTTGAAATCGTATGGCATTACATGGATGGCACCAATTTCTTCCAGTTTTATTTCGATGACATTCACTACACTCTCTAAAAAATATTATTGATATGATAATTAATTATATGATATCAAATTGAATTGAAGCATTGATTTGAATAATTATGAATCAAAATACTTACTCACTGTAATATAATTTATATTGATTAGTTTATATTTGATTAGAGAATTGTTATATGATATTGAAACATGATTTCAATAATTATGAATCTAAATACTCACTAACTGTAATATGATTTATATTATTTAGTTTATAATTGATTAGAGAATTGTTATATGATATTGAATTAATTTAAATTGAAACATTGATTTCAATAATTATGAATCTAAATACTCACAAACTATTTATATTAATATTGATTAGTTTATAATTGATTAGAGAATTTCTATATTAAATTGAAAAATTGCTTTCAATAATTATGAATCTAAACACTCACTCACTGTAATAATAATTGATTAGAGAATTGTTATATGATATTGAATTAAATTGAAGCATTGATTTCAATAATTATGAATCTAAATACTCACTTGCTGTGATGTAATTTATATTGATTAGTTTATAATTGATTAGAGAATTGTTATATGATATTGTATTAAATTGAAACATTGATTTCAATAATTATGAATCTAAATACTCACCGACTGTAATATAACTTATATTGATTAGTTTATTATGATATTGAATTAAATTAAAACATTGATTGAGATAATTATAAATCTAAATACTCACTCACTGTAATATAATTAGTTTATTATTGATTAGAGGATTATTATATGATATTGAATTAAATTGATATGAATCTAAATACTTACTCACTGTAATATATTTAGAGAATTGTTATATGATATTTAATTAAATTGATTTCAATAATTATGAACTAAATACTCACTAACTGTAATGTAGTTTATTGATTAGTTTATAATTGGTTAGAGAATTGTTATATGAAATGAATTAAATTGAAATCAACATTTCAATAATTATGATTCTAAACACTCACTAACTATTTATATTAATTAGTTTATAATTGATTAGAGATTGTTAAATGATGTTGAATTAAATTGAAACATTGATTTCAATAATTATGAATCTAAATACTCACGAACTGTAATATAATTTATATTGATTAGTTTATAATTGATTAGAGAATTGTTATATGATATTGAAATAAATTGAAACATTGATTTCAATAATTATGAATCTAAATACTCACAGACTGTAATATAATTTATAATTTATATCGATTAATTTATAATTGGTTAGAGAATTGTCATAAGATATTGAATTAAATTGATATGAATCTAAATACTCACTCACTGAAATATAATTTATATAGATTAGGTTATAATTGATTAGATAATTTTTATATGATATTGAATTAAATTGAAACAATGATTTCAATAATTACGAATCCAGATACTCACTAACTGTAATATAATTTATTGATTAGTTTATAATTGATTAGAGGATTGTTATATAATATTGTATTAAATTGAAATGTTGATTACAATAATTATGATTCTAAAATACTCACTAACTATTTATATTAATTAGTTTATAATTGATTAGAGAATTGTTGTATGATATTGAATTAAGTTGAAACATTGATTTCAATAATTATGAATCTAAATACTCACTCACTGTGAAAATTGGTTAGATAATTGTATATGATATTGAATTAAATTGAAACATTGATTGAGATAATTATGAATCTAAACACTTACAGACTGTAATAAAATTTATATTGATTAGTTTATAATTGATTAGAAAATTGTTATATATTGAAACATTTTCAATAATTATGAATCTAAACACTTACAGACTGTAATAAAATTTATATTGATTAGTTTATAATTTATTAGAGAATTGTTATATGATATTGAATTAAATTGAAACATTGATTTCAATAATTATGAATCTAAATACTTACTAACTATTTATATTGATTAGTATATAATTAATTAGAGAATTGTTATATGATAATTGAATTTAATTGAAACATTGATTTCAATAATTATGAATATAAATACTCACTTGCTATAATATAATTTAAATTGAATAGTTTACAATTGATTAGAGAATTGTTAAATGATATTAAATTAAATTGAAACATTGATTTCTATAATTATGAATCTAAATACTCACCGACTGTAATATAATTTATAATTGATTAGAGAATTGATTTTAATAATTATCACTAGTCAAATACAAAAGAATCGCTGTACCGAATGGTAATTCCTATATGTTATAGATGTAGATCAGCTAAAAATAGGCAAAAATCGACCGTCCTATATTATAAATCAGCTAAAATCGGAATTCCTTTTCAGTACGGCAATTCTTTTGTATTTGACCTGTGTATGGATCTAAATACTCACTTGCTGTAATATAATATATATTGATTAGTTTATAATTGATTAGAGAATTGTTATATCTGATATGATATTGAATTAAATTGAAACATTGATTTTAATAATTATGAATCTAAATACTCACTAACTATTTATATTGATTAGTTTATAATTAATTAAAGAATTGTTATATGATAATTGAGTTTAATTAAAACATAATTATGAATCTAAATACTCACAAGCTGTAATATAATTTATATTGATTAGTATATAATTGATTAGAAATATAATTTTAATATTTGTAAATAATTATTAGTAATAAATTATGGTTTTAAAATAAAGTTTGATATAAAAATATGCCTACTCTTCCGATTCTTTCAATTCTACTGTTTCTCCAGATTCTTTCATTTTTTCCGTTTTTCTCGTTTCTCCGTCTATTTCTTCTCTTAAAATCAAAAAAATATTACATTATCAAATTAAATAAATTCCGTTTTACATGCATTGAACAATAATAATAACTAAAGATTGTTTCAAAATACAAAAGGCGGTGTTACATAAACGTGATAGTTGGCTTGCAAGTGTGACCATTCCATTACTTTTTTAAATTCAGACCAGATACAAAATTTTCTTGTTTTGTTAAAAAATTTATTCTTTGTTTCATATTTTTGTCCAATACTTTCCAATACCATTTCCATTAATTGATGCTGTGAGGTTATTTCCTTCTTTAATATTAATTACCTTCTCTGTCTCCATAAATGATTTTGGGATTGTAATACATCTGTTCTATTTAAGTGATCATTGATGTTATGCATTTGTATTTGTCGATCGTAAATGTTGGATATCGTTTTTTACCATTCGCTGACATCTAAATATCCAATATTCTCACACGTTCACCTTTATCTTTCGCATAATGAAAAATGCTTAATTTTATAAAATAAACTATTAAGTAAAATCAGTGAATAATATATAAAATACAGGAATCTACCCGTTTTTGACTAATAGATTTCACTAATTGGTAACTGGATCACGAATTAAGCTTTTAATATTCACTCATTATATTAGCAACGAGTAGGGCGAATTTAATAGATGTCCTTATTTGTTTTTGAAAATAAAAAAATTGTTCGTTTTTCAAAGAATTATCGCTTTATAAATTATATTAAATTTTTTTATTTTATTTTGTATACTGTATACCTATCTTTTAATAATAAAAAAACAATTTTAAAAAATTGCAAAGCAAATGTATTAATATATTATTTTATTCAATATAATTTCCATATATTGAAATTTTTTGCTCTTCCAGTCAGTCGAACTTTTCCACCCTCAGCCTAAAAGCTCTCTTTTCAACTTTGTACTTTCAACTGTAAACCTAAAGTTATCAATTTTTCGTCCTCGCTCTTTTTTTGCATCATGATATAACATATAACAATAGGATTTGATAGCGATGTTTGGAATTTGACCGCGGAAAAACAACCGCCAAACTAAAAAATATAATAAAAAACAAAAAAAGTATGATCTTCTATCAAAATAATATTTACTAATTCTAACTTTCAAGATTTTATTCAAAGAGGATTTTATTCTTTCATTTGTTCAAAATAGGATCTTTTCTCTTCTAATACTCTAAAAATCCCTCTTCATAGAATTTTCTTTTTCTAACAAATTGATACGATCTTCTCTGTAAGTATTCAGTAATTAACAATATTGATAATAAATAATAAATAATTGATAAATAATGTAATATATAAAATTAAATGATGAGAATTATTCTTTTTTAATGATTAAAAATGCATCTATACATATTTATTTTTGTTATGTGTTAATGAATAATTAATTGAATTAATGCAATAATACATAATTTTAATTTTATTAAAAATCAACCCTCAAAAAATCTTTGATCCAATATAATACCAAAATTTTCTTCTAATGAACTTTTCATTTGATCATCCAATAATTCTTCAAATCCTCGAGCATTTCCTACGTTTCCACCACTTCTAATCCAACTATCAATCACCTCTTTTGTTTGAGTTAAATAAAGACCAAAAGATATCATCAATAAAGTTGCTTTAAAAAACCAATAATTAAATCTACTTTTTAATACAAATCCAATTTTTTCAAAGAATAAAGATAAATTATTTTTAAATATTATTATTGTTTGATAAAATTTTTTATCATTAAGTTTTGAATATTCATTATTAATATTATTAAAATTACTATTAGAATGAATTGATAATATATTATTATTATTTTCATTACTTTCAAAAGTTTTAGCATTTCCACCCCAATTAGACCAATCAGCACCTAAACCTTTTACAGCCCAATTACCCATAAGATTTATTCTATTTACTGGACTACCTAATTCTCTATTTAATGATCTTACAATATTCATATTTCTACCAATAAATATTAATTCTCTGGGAATTAATTCAGTATCAGTTAAAAATTTTTTTATATTATCTTTTATTGCCATTTGCATTTCATAAGCATCTTGTAACGTAACTGATTTTGTTGATGAAACATGGATAGCAGTTTGAGATTTATATGGTTTCCTATTAATATGATTTAAATATTAATATATAAAATATTATATGATATATATATGATTTAACATTAATATAATCAATAAAATTAAAATACTTACATAATTTGGGCACTAATAAATAAGTCACTTTCGGCAATTCCCCATTCTTTACAAATTTGGTTAATTGTTTCAGTATCCATAATAAATAACTATATAATAAATAATGTTAATAATAACAAATAAATAAATTAATATTATTAAATATATAAGTACATAAATAAATATATAATAGTAAATAATAAATAAATATATATATAAATATAAATAAATATTAAAATTTTAAACTTACAGATTTCCATAATAAACAATATTGATGTCGAAACACTATAGATTCTTCCACATATAACCCATGATCAATTAAAACTATTTGAAAATTCTTTGAATTATTTGGATTTGGTCTAACGAAGACATTACCGGGATGTGGATCAGCTATAAAATTTGATATTATATAAAATATATTAAATATGTTAAACATAAATGTAGAGTATAAAGAATAAACTGATATTTACCATGCACAAAACCTATACCCTCATATTTTAATAATATTTAATAATATTTAATAATATTTTAATAACATTTAATAATAATAATATTAATAATAACAATAATAATAATATTAGTAATAATAATATTTTAAATCAAAATAATTATGTTAAATATTATTTACCACTGCAAAATATTTGGTAAGAGAAAATATCTATAGTTGTTTTTATAACATCTTTAACTTGATATCCATATCTAAATAATAAATAAATGATCAATAATCAATAATCAATAATGAAAGATAAATGATAAATAATTATAAATAATAAATAAAAATAAAAATAATAAATTATATTAATAAATTAGGAATAAAGTTCAACCTCCGTATTCCTTCTTGGTCAGTAATTTTTACTCCATCAATCCATTCTGCAGTTAAAACTCGTTTACTTGTATAATCCCAATGTATTTTTGGTATATAAGCTTTATTACGTAATGACTTTTCCATCTCTAAATGTTTAGTTGTTTTTTCTGCATTCCTTCCTTCATTCTCAAAGTCAACTATTAATTAAATAATAAATTCATAATAAATTCAATAAATTAAATACATAAGTTCATAACAAATCCAATAAATTAAAAATTATTAAGTAAAAATAATAAACAGAAATAATAAACATTTGTTTCTTATTTACCTTCTTGCCTTATATGTTTTTCTGTATAATCAGCTGACCATGTGAGAGGAAGATCGAAAATATATTCATATAAATACATTAATGCTTTATAAGCTAATAAATCCCAATACTAAAATAATAATAATAATATGAAATAAATTAAAATAATAGTTTTTAATATAATTGCTCATAATTTTTTTTTTAATAATAATATATATTGACAACATCACTAACCATTTGCTTTCTTATATCTGGCTTTTGTACTTTGACTGCCACCAATGTTCCATTTTTTAGCTTTGCTCGATGAACTTGCGCAACACTTGCTGAAGCCTAAAATAATAAATAAAAATAAAAATAAAAATAAAAATAAAAAATAAAAATAAAAAATAAAAAATAAAAATAAAAAATAAAATAAAAATAAAAATAAGAAATAAAAATATAAAATAAAAAATAAAATAAAAATAAAAAAATAAAAATAAAAATAAAAATGATTTAAGAAAGTAAGAATATCATTTTAAATTATATATAAATGCATACTATAGCATTGCGTTCAAAGTCATCAAAAATATCATCTGGATGGCAATTAAAATCTTCTTTAAATATCTTTACCACCTGCTCAAATTCAACAGCTGGACTATATACATATTATTATTATTGTTGTTGTCATTATTATTATCATCATTATTATTGTTATTATTATTATATCAGTCAAATTATAAATTATAATAATAAATTCTTTCTTACTTCTTTTGAAAGAAATAATTATATAGATATTTGTGTGTACTTACGCATCATCATATAACTGTTTAAATGCTCTTTGGTAAGCTGTGAATAATAATAATAATAATAATAATAATAATAATAATAATAATAATAATAATAATAATAATATAAAAATAATGTTTTAATAATCCATTAACCTAAATAATTCATTTTAATTAATTTTTACCTGTTGGTAAAATACTAGACTGCACTCCAATAGATTGTCCTAATTTTATATATAGACCACTAAAAATAATTATAATAATTTGAAATAATTATTTGAAATAATTATAATAATCTAAAATAATTTGAAATAATTATTTGAAATAATTATAAATAATCTGAAATAATTATAAATAATCTGAAATAATTATGAATAATAATAATAAAAATAAATCACAAAAATAAAATGGAAATCACAAAGTCATACCCACCCATTCGAACGACAAGTATTTAAAATTCTATTTGCAACTCGTTCATGAAGTTCTTCTATTTTATCACCTTTGCCAGGTCTAAAATTGATCTTGTAATCTAATCCTATGCAGAGACTTTAAGTAAAGGTGATTTGATTTTATTAAATGAGTACAAATGATAAAAAATAAAATGATATAAATAAGTGAAGTGTAATGAATGAATAAATAATAATAATAATAATAATAATAATAAATGTTACCCATTCCAAGCTGTCAAAGCGTTTCGTTGTAAGGTTCTGGCATTTAATTTATCATCAACAAGATAAATTCCCCCAATAAAACCAGTGAGAATAGCAATTCTTCGGACGGAATTTCTTATAAATAATGACATTTTATAAGATTAAAATTGATAGCCTTGATTTCTAATTTATATGTATTGATGTAATCACGTGTCGTCATAATTACAGTTTATACTGTATATGGATTTTGATCAAAATTTAACGTTTTAATTTTTATTCTTGGACGAATAATTGTTCGCTTTTTTACTACGCATTTTATTCAACTAGTATTATAGATATATGGTCTATGATGACTGAAAAAAGAAAAGATAAAGGGATTTTTCCCATAACTCCAATTTCAAAATTAAAAGCTAGACCATTCCCCCAGACAGCAGCTTGTTTGATCATTGGTGATGAAATTCTTAATGGGAAAACTGTAGACACTAATTCTGGATTCTTTGGTATTTTTTTTTTATTATTATTATATTTTAATATTAATTATTTTAATTATTATTTTAATTTTGATTATTTTAATTTAAATTAATTTTAATTTTTAATTTTAATTAATTTTCAATTTTAATTAACTTTAATTTTAATTAATTCTAATTTTTAATTATTTTATTTTAATTAATTCTAATTTTAATTATTTTATTTTAATTTAGCCAAGTTTTGTTTCAATCTTGGAATTGATGTTAAAAGAATTGAAATTATTCCTGATGAAGAAGAGGTATTTTTTTTTATATTTTAACGATGTTTATACATATATTATTTATATATATTATTTAATACATATTTATTTATACATGACATGTTATTTTTACTATTTATTGATATTTTAGGAAATTATTGAGGCAGTAAAACGTCTTAGCAGTAAATTTGATTTTGTTGTTACTAGTGGTGGAATAGGTTCTTTTCTTTATAATTCAATAAATTATTATAAAGCTATTAATTTTTCGATATTTTTTAAATCCATTTATTAATATAAATAAATAATAAATATATTTATATAGGTTCCACACATGATGATATTACTTATCCATCAATAGCTCGTGCTTATAATCTTTCATTAAAATATCATCAACCAACACTTGATAGAATAGAAAATAGAGAATTTATTAAAAAATATTATAAAAGTGAGGTTATTATGTCAGAAGCTACTAAAGAAGCTTATAAACGTATGGCTTTATTTCCTCATCCATCATTGGTTGTTTTTCCCAATGAAAGAATGTGGATACCGATAGTTATCGTCAATGAAAACATTCATATATTACCAGGAATTCCTAAATTCTTTAGAGGTTTATTATCTGAATATGGAAAATATCTTCAAAGTGGAAGTAATGGTAGAGAAGGAGAAGGAGAAGGAGTAATAAGTGAAAGGGGAAACAAATTTTATAGAAGATTTGTGAAAACTTATCATCCTGAATCATATATTTCATTTATATTGGCGGAAACTCAAAAAGAAGTAAAAGATTTAGGAATAAAAATTGGTAGTTATCCAAAATGGACTGAAAATGAAAAACATGTAATAGTAAGTTTTTTATCAAGAGAAGTTAATAGTAAATTAGTAGATAAGATAGCAAAAGCAGTAGCAGAAAAAATTGACGGAATATTAATTGAGTCTAATAAAGTTATTGTCGATGATGATGATAATAATGATGATAATAATAATAATAATAATAATAATGTGTTCAAATCTCGTAAATATAAAAATTATAATAATAAGCTATAAATATTATCTCTTCTTGACTATTTAGAATAGATTTATTGTATTAATTTTATGTTTTATGATTTTCATATGTAATTTTCATGGATCTGCAAATTCATACAATATATAGTAAATTAATCATCTGATCTGATTGTTTGTTAACATCAACTTGAATATTGTATTTAATTTGAACACTATACTAGGATACTAGGCTAGGTAATTCAAAACCTTTTTTATCTATATTATTTCTTTAAAATTGATATCAATAATTTAATTACATATTCAATATTATTAAAATTCATTATATTTTTTCAATAATATTTCAGAGAAACTAGTAAAGCATTTTAAAGTATTTATTATATAAAAAAAAAAAAATTAATTAAATTTTTAAAGTTAATATAAAATTTCTTTATTACCAAGAATATATATATGGAACTTTGAAACAAGTAATTCATTTGATAAATTTCTTTATTGCCGAGAATTAATTCTTTTACTTATTTGATATTTTATTTCTCATTTTTTGCCAAGAAAAAAATAATATATATATTTAAAAAATTCTAAATTTCTTGGGAATTACGATAAATGGTTAACTAAATGTATAATAAAGCCGCATACATGACATGCTGTAATATACCACGAGGGTCTCGTAAATATTCAAATTTTTAGAAGCATTATCTCTTTTATAATATGTTTGTTAAGTTTTGTTTATATGCCATACTTCTATATCTGAATAAATAACGTCTCGTGCAATTGTCACCAAAAAATCGGGTATATGGGGATGTGTGTGCATTTATTTACCAAAAGTTACTAGTTTATTTTTAACTCAATTAAACCTTGCATTTCAATAATTTACATAATTAGTAAATTGGTAACTTACATATATATATATATATAGTACGTACGTGTAAAATAATAATTTATTGGTTTTCTAAATTGAAAAAAATAATCTAATAAATATAATAAATAGAAAACAATAATAAAAACGGCGGACCACAAAAAAAAACAAATTCATTCAAACCCAATCCTTTAGTATCATTTAGTGTGATTATAAATTATAACAGAAATTTGAATTTTAAATTATGAATTTTTTATTTTATTTTTTATTTTCTCGTCTCGTTTAATTTTCGTTTAATTTTCGTTTTTTTTGAATTTTAAAAATTTTAATCACTTTATCAATTTCAATTCAATAATTAATTCAATCAAATCACATAATAAAAATTCAATCAAATAATAAAATATGACTTATGAATCTTCTTCATTAATGCCTCCCAAATCATCAATTTTTGCACAAAAATCAATTCTAAAACCTTCAAGTACATCAAATTCACCTATTTTATATACTTCAAACCATCCACCAAAATCTCCTTTATTAACACCAAAATCTCCTTTATTGCTACCAAAATCTCCTTTATTACCACCAAAATCACCAAATCTTTCACCAAATAAACCGAGGTCTAATCCTATAATTGGTTTGTTAGATACTGAAGAAGAATATGTTGAAGAATTAACATCTTTAATCAAGGTAATTTTTTTATTTATTATTTACTATCAATTTATTATTTTATTTAAAAAAAATTTTTTTTATTAATCATTTTTTTATTTATATAAATCGTTTTTTTTTTTTATTCTATGTTTACAGAGAATAATAAATACCACTAGTTGGAAATATGATAATCCTTCCCCAGAATTAAATGTCATGTTTCGTTATATCAATGATATTTATAAAGAAAATAATGATTTTTGTTCAGTATGTTTATATTTAAATTAATTAATTATTTTTGTTTTTTTTTTTTTTTATTTCGTAAAATAATTTAATATAATAAATAATTTAATATAATAAATAATTTAATATAATAAATAATTTAATAAATAATTTTTTTTTATTCTAGAGACTTGGTAAAGTTGATGTAAATCCTAATAATCCTCATTCAATTCAAGCCATTGCAGATATTTTAATGACATGGGTAAATATTTCTTTCCATTTTATTTAATAATTATTTATATTATTAATTATTAATTATTTAATTATTTAATTATTATATTTATATTATTATTTTTAGATCGATCAAATGGAAGGTCCATATTCAAGATATTATCAAAGATACGAAAGAGGTTTCGATGCTTGGCCAGAAATTGAAGATAATATTTCTTTACAACAAATATTAAATGTAATTATAAATTATTTAATTTACTTTTTTTTTTAATCGATTTATTTAATATTTTTAAAATATATAATATTATTTAATTTATTTAATATTTAAGGATCTCTCTTCAAAAAAAAATCGACTTGTAACATTAGATTACTTTTTCGAATTACCTTTAAAACGAATTCATTATTATAAAAATTTATATGCGGTAAAAATTTAATTTAAATCTCAAATTAAATCGATCTAATTTTATTTAACTTAATTTAAACTCTAATTTAAAACTCTAATTTAAACTCTTTAATTTTTATTTTAAAGCGCTTATACAAAAGTTCGGAACCTGGACGATCAGACCATGAACTTTTAGCCAAAACAAATCAACGTATAGACTATTTAATAGAGTTAGCTAGAGAATCAGAAAATAGACCAGAAATTAGACCAAAAATTCATGATACCAAAAGAAATAATAAAATTGCTAAAAATCAAATTAATAATGTAAATAATCAAGATAATAAGAATTGGGATTTGATGGATTTGGAATCTAAGCTTGATGATTCCCGAATTATGGATTTATTTACTAAATCTTCAAAGGTTAGAAATTAATTAATAATTAATTCCTTTTATTTCTTTTCATTTATTTATTTATTTATCAAATGTTTATTTTATTAAATGTGTTTATTTATTAAATAATACTATAAATATTTAACATAATTTGTTTGACAATAGCGACTTAAAATAAAACTTCAACCTGCTAACTTGCCATTCCGTCGAGAATTAATTCTTCACGAGGATTTTATTGTAATTTTACCTGATGCCAATGATAATTCACATAAAGCTCATGTAAAAGCTCACTTGTTCTTGTTCACCGATATGCTATTAATTTGTCAAAAATTAAATGATGAAGAAAAGAGATCTAACCCTACAAAGGAATTTTTGATTTTATATCCTCCTCTTAGCGGAAGACATTTGACTGTACTTGACATTAATGATGATAAAGAAGGTATATTACGTCAATTTATATTGTTGAACAAATAAAAAATTAATTCGTCCTTTTTTTTTATGAACTCAAAAACTAATAAAATTTATTATTATAAAAATAATAGATTTATTTCAGATAACTGTGATGGAGAAAATAATTCTCGTAATATTTTCAGAGAATAAAGGGCGTAAAAATTTTTGGATAAAAGAAATCTTCAAAATGATTGAATTCGCTTATAATGCTGCTCGTAATACTGGTAATACATGTAGCTATGCAAAAATTAAGATTAATAATATTTCACTTAATTCTCTTCTTTACTATTTAATTCTCATTTTATCCCGCCTTTTTTTTTTTTTTTACAGACACCACAAAGAAAATTCCACCACGTAAAGATTCTCATCCGTTATCTAACAATGATAATAATTCACCAACGAGATCCCGTCAAAATTCAGAAGATTCGAAAAGAAATAATTTCATAAGTGAAAGTACAATGGACACAAGTGAGAATGATAATTTATTCATAGAAACATTATTTCAATCATCCATATGTAATATTTCAATTTGGAAAGATAATGGATGGAGACCATTTACTACCCAAGATGAATGTTATATTGAATTAAGGTTAACAACTGAAAAGAAATGTTATATGATGATAATGTCAAAGGAAAGGAAAAGAATAATTCATCATATATTTATTGGTCCAAGTCCATCATCAATATATTTACAACGAGAGTCACCATGCATTATTAATATAACATGTGAGATAGGACCACAAAAAGATTATTTTAATATATTTTTACCAACACCAATGGAGACTGATAAATTTTTATCATGTGTAAACAATTTTCGGAATTCTCTTTCATCCCCAACTTCATCATCTTCTCCACCTTCATTATCTTCTCCACCTTCATCATTTCCATCGCCAACACTTTTTAATAAACAAACAATAGCAAAATTCGCACCTCGAACATCATCACTACAAAAACATCAATCAAATGATTATATTAAAGAGTTAGAAAGTATGTCAGTTATGGAATCCAGATGTCGAATATTTTTAAATAATGAACACGCAATTTGGACTAATTTTGGTTGGGGAAAAGTACAAGTGATATTGGAAACTCCATCAAATAAGAAGAGAATTATAATTATCTTGGATAAACAGAAATCCAAGTTAGTTGATTCAATTATTTGGGAAACTGGAGTGGAGAAAGTAGGAAAATTAGGTATAGCTATTACCATAAATAATAATAATAATACGTCTACGTCTAGAACACCGTTGATTTATATGGTACAGATGAAAGATGAAGATAGTACAGCTAAAGCTTTTGAATTTATGAAGAAAACATATGTAAAATAATAAGTAATAATAACAGATAATTATTTTACATATTTGTTTATATATATATTTGTATATGAATTTTTATTTGTATTTATATTTTATTTAAATATATCTGATATTTATTATTTATGTATTTTAACAGCATTAAAATAAAATATCTTGTTTATTAACTTGTGCACTAATTACAGCCACACTGAGACTAGCTTATTCTATCTGAATAAACTAAAGTTAACCTTCTAAATATTGTCCATTATTCTAATTCATAAACGTGAAAATATTCGGACATCTCGATTTCAGTGAGTCTATATAAGAAAAAAATATAAGAAAGATCGATACAAAGTTTTTAATAATAAATAATATGCTTACTAGAACTGATGATGTTCATCAAACCAACCATTACATAAATAACAAATTTTACTTGTTCTAAATTCATTAATTATCATCTCTTCTTTAATTCTTGATATAACCCTTTACTGATCCTCCTTAGAAGATGAATATAATTCATACATATTTTGAAGAAAATATGCATATGCAATATAATGTTCATACATTCTGACAAATTGACATGATAGTGTTCTATTTTAAATACTTTGTTAACTTAAGGATTCTTATACCATATACGATAATGTATTATTTTATTTAGCTAGCTAATAGGAAGATCTATGGTCATCCATTTGGATAATATTAATGTTTTTTCCAACTTCTTTGAAGAGCCCCTGGAGGAATTGGTAAGAAGGTGATAGTGGAATGAAGAAATTTAATGTGAGAATGATGATAATCTCAGTAAAAAGAAAACTCATAAAGTTAAACAACAACTTTGTACAATTTAAATTTTAAGATAAAATTATAAAGAATAATAATATTCAAACTAAAAATATAAATGAATAAAATATAAATCAAATCAATAATGTGATCATTTGTCAAGATAGTTAATAAACAAATATTTAAAAAATTACTTTGTCTATTATTAAAACAAATCCTAACAAACAACTGAACTCATTTTGGCAGTACTTCCTAAAGATGAAATGTCCCAAATTCTACTACAAGATGATCTCTAAACATCCTTTAATTATCAATATGTCCTTTAGCCAAGTGTGCACCTTCCAGACAACTCTGAACGTCTATGAGGCATCTCCCAAATATATAACATCCTCAGGTGAATAGTTGAACTTACTAATTAGATAACAAACAAACTGTCAAAATAATACATAATAAGAAATAACAAATTAAAATTAAATTAATAATCACAGGTCGAATGAAGGAATAACAGCGCAGCCAAATTTTTGGTCACGTGTAAAAAATTTGTCCCATTTTTTTTTGATGTGAATAATAAATAGTAATAAATGACAATAAATCTAGAAGAAACTCAAAAATAAAGAAATAAAAAAATTAAACCAAAAAATCTGAAACAATTAAGAGATTTTTTGAGCCTAGCCTTTCTTCATCAATATAGAGTGAGTTATTGCTTATGCTGAAAAATTAATGCACTATTGAGAAAGGATGTCAGTAGAATGGGCCATCACATATTTTTAGACTCTATCTTTATGGGACATTTTCAATTGTATACTGATCACTCTGCTTTATTGGCACACAAGATGTCTCAGAATTGATTAGCTAAATAGATTGTATTCATTTTCCACTAATTCCCACTCAGGAAATATAAAACACTATTTATTTCGTGCTTAGGTTTATTTATCTTACCTTTAATTATGTATAATTGCGTTTAATTATGTTTCGTTTATGTTAATGACTTGGCAGATATAAGATGTAAAATATAAAGAATAGTATTACATAATTATATTACGCGCTTTTTCAAAAAAAAGTTAAAATAATTTATTTTATTTCTAATAAAATATTAAAGATATTAGATATTAATCCTTCGAAACTGAACACAATATTCTTTTAATACATATTAACTATGGAAAAGTCAATGAACATCATCCAGTTCCCCTCCCAGCATAAAATGTATACCAATAGGAGATATGGTAAGACAATGTAAGTATTTCAGAAATATCTTATTTACCTTCGAATATTCCATTTTGTCTCTAAATATCGAAATATTTTTGGGGATTCATAAGAGACTATAACTTTTTGTTTTATTTAAATAGAATGTATTCATCATGAGCGTGAGAAACATTTTAAGGTACATTATTGGCCGACAATGAATAAGCTCCCAAAAGGTTAATTTAAAAAAATTGTTTTGTTTATCTATATCGTATCTATAATCTTATCTATATAATATCCAAATTATTTTGTTTGTAATACGATTACTAAAAGATCTGACGCTCATGCCATTGTAAAATCTGTACATCGTTTGCCTTAATAAAGAAATATGAATAATTATGTAATTTATTAAATTTTCGTTATAAAAATGTAAGTTCTTCAAAAAAATTCTAACTAAACATGGGAAATAATAATTCCTCTTTCGATAAAAAATCCGAAAAAATATTTTCTCAAAATGAAGAATGTCCGTTTGTTAGTGGAACGAAGTATTATGATGAAGAAAGTTCATATGCTTTACCCATTGATAAATTTGGTGTAAATTATTCTGCTCCAATTCTCAAATACTTACAAAATGGATGCAAGGTTCTTGATATTGGGTAAATTCTGTTTTACGATTTTCGATTAGTTTTTTATAAAATTATTTAAAGTATTTTTTTTTTTTTAAAAAAAAAAAACAGATGTGGAGCAGGAACGTGGATATGTGAATTGGCGATCGAATTCCCCAATTCAATTTTTGTAGGAGTTGATTTGAAGCCTGTTTACCCTTCGGAAATTAAACAAACTAATGCAGAACTCGTAAAGAGCAATATTCTGAAAGGATTACCTTTCAAAGGTTTCGTTAATATATATTTTCATCATTTACTTGTTTATTTTATCTATAATTGATGATTTTATAATGATAATATTATAATAATAGATAATGAATTTGATTATGTGCATAGCAAAAAAATGAACTCTGCTTTCAAAGAGGAAGAATGGATAAATAAAGTGGTAAGCAAATTAAACAAATTTATCGATTGAATGAATTGGATGACAAACTTTAACTTAATTTGAATTTTTTATTTTAAAAAAGATTCCAGGTAAATTTTTATTTATCTTTTATATTAAGTAGATATTTATTCATTTTTTTTTGGTTCTAACCTATTTAATTTATTTAATTTATTTAATTTAAACATTTTATTAGAATTAATCAGGGTTACAAAACCTCAAGGATGGATAGAATTCTATGATGTTGATGTTCGATTAATAGATGCAGGTCCAAATTCTACTCGTTTAGTTGAAGGCATAGCACAAAGCATGTCTAATTCAGGCCTTAATGCTAGCTCCATTACTTTTATAAAAGGATGGTTACAATCTTGCTCTGATAATATTACAAATATTAATGAATTAACTAAATTAATTCCTATAGGAGTTTGGAATTCGGCTATTGGAAAACTTAATATGATGGGTTATATAGATTATGTCAAACTACAAAAACCATGGATAGCTGATGGAATGAATATTAGTGAAGATGAGTTTTCAAAATTAGTTGAATTAACTAATGCTGAATTCTCCTCATCTGAATATAAAGGTAAATTGCCTGTCATGCGAGTTTTTGGACAAAAAGTTTAAATTTTAAAATTTATTCAAAAATTAAGATAGTTTATAATTTTTAATAAGTTTATAAATTTTATATTAGATTTTCATAAAATTATTAAACCTTCTCTTTTTTTAAAAAATTGAACTTTACTTATGAAAAAAAAACAATAATTTAATAAATATGTAATTTTAAATTTGCGATTACATAATTAATTTTTGAAATTACATTACGCGAGCTTGATAGATTCAATCCGACGCCACATTTAAAAATATCTTAAATATATTTCCAAATTAAGTTTTCGTTTCTGAAGATTATTGCCGGAAATAGTATCATTTATTGGAAATTGTTAAAAAGAATTTAATATTAGGTATAGAACCAACTTCTCGTCATATATAATGTGATGTTATAATGTAATTTTATAATGTAATGTTAAATAAATTTGTTTCATCCTAAAATTCTGATAAACATGGGAAATAAAAAATCCTCTTTAAATCAAAATTCATCTTCTGGATGTATTATTAGTGAAGGAAAGCATCACGATGAAGATTTTTCAAATAATTTAACTGAAATAGATCGGCAACAAGATTTACATTATCATATTAAACTTGTGTTTAATGGGAATTGTTCTGCACCAATTCATGAATATTTACAAAATGGGTGCAAAGTTCTTGACATAGGGTAAGTAACATTTAAACATTACATTTAAATCTAAAAAAAAATAATATATATTTCTGTTACATTATGATTTAAAGTCATTTTTTGTAAATTATGTTTTTAAATTATACCTAAAATTATTTTTAAAAATTAGTTGTGGTGCAGGAATATGGATATGTGAATTAGCGACCGAATTTCCCAAGTCGACTTTTATAGGAGTCGATATGGTACCTGTCTATCCTTCAGAAATTAAACCAAATAATGCTGAATTTGTAAAGAGCGATATTCTGAAAGGACTAACTTTCAAAGGTTTTCATTAAATATTCTTATATTATTTACTTGGTTAAAAATTTCTCACAATAACTTTAATAACTGGTATAATAATAGATAACGAATTTGATTATGTACATAGTTCATTAATGGGCACTGTTTTTAAAGATGAAGAGTGGATAAATAAAGTGGTAAGTAAATTGAACAAAAATTTATACAATTAAATGAATTGAATGACAAACTCTAATTATAATCTTGATTTCTATAATTTAAATATTTTTTTTAAAAAAAAAGATTCCAGGTAAATTTATCTTTATTATTGACTATTATTTACTTTACCCACCCTTATTTATTTAATTAAATATTTTTATTAGAATTAATTATAAATATTTTTATTAGAATTAATTAGAGTTACAAAACCTCAAGGGTGGATAGAATTCTCTGACATTAATTTTGGTTTAATAGATGCAGGCCCAAATTCTACCCATTTAATTAACGGTATAACACAAGGCCTTTCTGATTCAGGAATTAATGCTAGATCTATTACTTTGATGAAAAATTGGTTACAACCTCGTGTTATGAATATTACAGAATTAAATAAAATTGCTCCAATAGGAGTATGGGAACCTGCCTTGGGAAAATTTAATTTGCAGGATTGTGTAAATTATGTTAAATTACGAAAATCATTTATAGTAGATTCGATGGATATTAGTGAAAATGAATTTTTAAAATTAGAAGAATTAGCCTATGCTGAATTCGATTCAACTAAATATAAAGGGAAATTTTCTATCATGCGGGTTTTTGGGCAAAAAATTTAAATACTTAAATGATAATTTTTGTTAGATTTCTTTTTTTTTTTTTTTGTCTGATATTTTTAAAATATATTTTAAATATGAATGTAAACTATTCTCTATATCAGGTTCAAATAGTGTAACGATAACATAATAAAATCATATCTCCTAACTTACACGTTATAATGAACAAAAATGTCATCTGATGAAAAATAAACATCAAGAATATACATCTCCCCTTGCTTAATGATGAACACGCAACTCCAAACATTTCAAAAAAATAATTTTGATAAATGGACAAGTTTGACACAATAAATATTTCATTCAAGATTCTCAACTAATACTAAATAAATATTTTGATAATAGAATGGATACCTTGTGATAGATTAGAATACATTACATTAAACAAATCAATACATTTTAGCTTGGTGGATTGATAGACCAATTCAAGAATAGGATGCTAAAATCAACAATGGAAAAAGAAACAACCAATTTAAATTGATAAAAAAATTTTTTTGGATAATTTTACAAATTTAAATGAAGATTTCTTAAATGAGGTAAAAGTTTTAATATTAATATGCAAAAAATGTATCAATACGATTTTATGGAACCCAAAAACATACAAATATATGATTATGCTAGAGGTGAAAATCTTGGAGATTATTTAAAAATAAATTTTAATGATATTAATTAATTGCGAAAGAGACTTAACTGATAATTGTTCAAATATTTATGACATGATTAGATCTGAAATATTTATCATATAGACGTTTTTTGTTTATATAAACAAAAAACGTCTTAGATTGGACTATAAACGTCTCAAGTGTAACGTGAATTTTGCTTTTTAGGCTACACTCGAGTGACGTGCATTTTGCTTTTTGGGCTACACACCTGAGACATTTATAGTCTACACTTCAGATGCTATATAGAATATATTTGTATCATTACTTGAGATCCACTGAGGCATGTGTTGGTGTGGTGTGCATTTTGCTTTTTAGGCTACACCCGAGTGACATATTGTCACACTTGTGCAGAGTATTCAAACAATTTCTCAAATCAGTCTCAAAGTTTGCATCACACAAACATAATAATATGCTCTATCTGCAAGTAGGTCACAGCTAATACAATTGATTTAACTGGCCTATCTCGAAACAGATAATAAATATATAATAAATAATAATAATCATCAAATAATAATCAATTAATCATGAAGGCACAGTGAGTAAGATGGAGTAAAAGCAATTAACACAGTATCAAACAATATTCAATAATATTTCACAATATTACAACACAAGATATAAGTTTATTAAAATACAAAATATAAAGTTTTTAAAAGTAAAGTATAATTCAGTGACAGAAATATTATCATGTGTTAGGATATCTATTTTACCATCCCTGAAGTAAGTTTACTTTTCTATCAAATAATAATTAAAATATTTCAGTATATTCCATTAAACTAAGTAATAATTAATTAACTAGCTGGTACAATCTGAACTTCTTTTGAAACTTATACCTGACAACAGTCATATTTATACTTTCTCTTTTTTTTACACTTCATCCTTCATCTTTGTACTTCATCCTTCATCCTTTGTGCATCATCCTTCACCTTTCATTCTTCATCTTTGTACTTCATCCTTCATCCTTGTACAGTCATCTCACCTGGGATAACAATTACCTGAATGTTCATCTAGTATCACAAATTATCATTCCCCATGACATTTCACCTGATTACCAGTTTGTATTGTCACAGTATATTTTGCAAAACTCAAGTTGTAATAAGAAATAGCCAAGTTAGGTTATGGTGCCTATGGCTTTCTGCATTAACTCCTAATTCTTTTAGAAATCCAAATTCAATAGTAATATTTGTATATTATAACCTGTAAACTTGATTAACCTCATCACAAGTTTGATGATCTAATTGCCATCATATCTAATTCAAGTGATAAAAAAAATAATCACACAAATGCTATTGGATATGCTATCTAATTATGCTATCAGGTCATACATGTGCTGTCAAATAATTCAAGTATTTTGTTTATGATTTTAGATCGGTCAAGAACATATTGCCATTCTCTATTTTCACCATCTATTTGTACTGTTATCCGTATAAACCTTCTACAATTTACAAAGACAACAGGATAAAATAATACTAAAACTAATAATAAAACTAAGTATAACTATAAGAATTACTAATCTCACGATAAAATAATCAC